TCGTTGTTTAGGTTGTGGTTGTTGTTTGCATTGCTGTGATAGTTGTTGCTGTTGTTGTGACGGTAGCACAAAAGATTAACAGAAATGGAAGTTATTGAGATAAGCAGCATTGTGATTGGATAGAAAACTGTATTGAGTGATAAAAAAAAATCTTAATTACATCTTTCCAGGGCTCATCTCATCTTTATCTTTCAATTATGATAAATTTCATTTTCATCATTTTTCGTAACAACCATTTTTTATATTATTGTCTTCGAAAAACATAGAAATATAAACTTTTAAACAAAATAACGTAAAAGAAATATATCTACAAATTAGCATATAAAGAATAACACATTGAAAGTAAACAAAAACAATACAACACCAACAACAACTGCTTGAAAAGGACAACACTTTATTAACAACGTATCAATGCAAGGACAATACAACAACATCAGCAACAACAACAATATCAGTAACAATAACAATAACAACATCAGCCGCAACAACACCAAAGACATCATCAACAACATCAGTACTTGCAACAACAAAAACAATAACAATGTGTCGTCGTCAAAATCATCTATACATCAAAATTGAACACAATCCGCCCATCCTAAGATCTATTATGATACATTTATTAACATAATTTTTTGGATGGAATTTCGTCTCCATGTTATACAACAGCTAAAGCTTTGCAGCTTAACTTTTTTTATTCAAGTTACGCTTGGTTGATGTGATGATTTCGAGTATTCAAGTTATTTTAGTTTTCTAAAAGTTTCGTGACTCTGCACTCACTAAAACCGGAACAGCAAAAATTTGTTGAGTTTCCATTCAGCTTATCAATCCTCTCATCCAGCAGATACAACATCAGCTCGCATCTCAGATGATGCTTCCAGAGAATGTGCCAGTTGTCATGCAGTTATTATTATTGACCTTCATTAATGGACTGCATTCGACCCGACCGATCTCTAGGATCATTGTTGAAAGTAGCATTTTTTTTTATTTTATATTTATTTTCCTGCTTGATTTTGTCGAATTCTCGCAATGTTCATTTTTATTATTATAACCAAAACCTGGACTTCAAATCATTATCTCAGCCATAACTCATCTGATAAAACACGTTTTCAACAAACCAAATTAAAATCATTAATTACCTATTGGCAGCGGTTCAAAATTAACAATTTTTGAAGTACACTTACTAACGACTCATCGGCAACAGAGCATACAAAATAAGCAGAACGCATACAACACAACGTTGACAACAACTCACCAACAACGCAACATTAACAACAACAGCAGCAGCAGCATCAACAATAACATCAACAGCAACATAACGCAAAACATCGCAACATTAACTCAGCATGGCAACGAAACGCCAACCAATGATAGGGATTATGAAGGAATGACAACGTGGTGAGATGTTCGTAATGAATTGTATCTGCAGTATGAAGACTCCTGTCATCAGCACGGTTGACGGAACCTTGTTGTGTTGCAATTGGTTCAAAAAAAATTACTTAATAAAACATTCAATCAGTGTGTATGCTTTAACATTAGCAAACTGTTGAATAAAGATTGTGCCTTTTTGCCCAGAGTTAAACTAAAAAGAGTAACCTTTAAAAAATAAACAATTTAATAGGTATATAGGTTATAGGAGTCAATAGGTATAATTGAATTTATAAATATAAAAACATATTAATAAACCAATATGAAAAAAATGGCACGACCATTGTTTGTTAAATAATCACAATGCAACCTACACACATGTAAACTATAAACGTTAAAACAACGAACAATACACTCGTACGAATTCAACAGAAGGGTGTTGTACATACACACATTCAACATTTTAGAGCAACCACAAAAACACGTAGAACCGGTTAAACAAATTAGAATAAACCTCGTAAGCATAAACAAAATAATCGTAACGCGTCGGTTCTGTTACATAATCATAAATAACATAAACAAGATAGACATAAACAATAGAAAATAAAAACATAGACATTCTAAACACGTGGAAGAAGCACCTTAATTCTCCTGTTTGCAGACAATTTAAGTAGAAACATCAGAGGCAGTGCTGCAAGTCCTGTGGGGAAGACCAAGATGATGGAATAATATGATAGTTGGCGATGCAGTTCAATACTGAAGTGTATTCTGTTTTTTTGCTGCTCTTGTTGGTGTTGTTGTTGTTGATGATGTTGTTGGTGTTGTTCTTGCTGATGTTGTTGATGATGTTGGTGTTGCTTTATTTGATAATGTTGATTGTTTTGATGAGGTTGTTTGTCTCGTTGTAATTGTGGATGTTGGTTGTGATGAAAATGTTGTGTGAATTTTTTTGGCGGTTCTTCGTTGTTTGTTCCGAATTGAATTGAATTGTTGTTGTAGCGCCCATTATATGCTGCCCTGTGATAGTTGATATCGTTGATGTTGAAAGCTGAACCAGGATTCTGTCCAACTTTCCACAGCGAAGCCCTGCAATGATTTTCCATCGTTCACTACCTCCTATTACTTCAATGAACAAGATGACATAGCATGGTTTAATAAATATTTTAATAATTTTTTTTTGTATTTTTTACATACACAATTTACGAACGTGAAAGATTTCCCTGTTTGTACATTTAAACAAATGTTCCAACAGAAAAATGAAAGGATGTACTGTGAATAATTTTTTATCAAATCGCTTGCAATCACAGTTCCCTAAGTCTATAAAGTTGTTTAATCATATTATTTGTTCTTGTCTTTCTTGTTGAAATATTTTTATGTTGAATGAACATTTTGGGCTAACGTTTTATCATCTAACAATTTAACGGTTTTAAAACTTCACATAGACTTTAATAGAACTAAAATGCTAGTTGTGTTCATTTGAACACAAATTAACTCTACACATACATAGCATCCCAGCTAAGAATATAGTGAATAAATGAATAAATGAAATGAATATTTTGTTAATCAAAACTGCGCCATGTGTTGAGCCAGCAATTGAGATAAAGTGTCTCACTGATCCTTCAATTTTCAATCCAATCTTTGAACCATGACTTTTGGACTGATTGTTGAAGAAAACTCGAAAATAGTCAGCAAAGAGTCAGCAAATTATTTGAATAAATAAACGTTTTCAACAACTTTTTATGTTATTTTAAGAGAATTTAAAATAATCTACATAATGGTAACTTTTGTTTAATTTTAAATTATAAAAGGTAAAAGACTCTTTACTTAACTTAAAAAAATAAAACCCTAAGTTTGAAATTTTTTAATTTAAAAAAATGTGAAATGTTGCAATCTTGAAACTTTGAAAACCTGATTGAAGTAACGCAAACAAATACAAAATTACATTCGCTTTTATGGTTGGCATATTTATATTAATTAATTATACAAGTAAAAAATAATATTTTATTCTTTTCAGAAAATTCAGCAAATTTGTTTGAGCATTCAAGTGAAGCGAGAGATACACTGAGAGATTCACATATTATTTAGCCTACTGCTGTACCAATCACTCAATAGACTTGAATAACTCGACGAACTTGGCGCTAAGGCAACAATTTCTATACATTTAATTCAATTAAAAATAAATTCAGTTATGCGAAAGTTTTATTTTATTCAAAAATTAATCAAAATTATTTAACGCACGCTAATAAATAAATGAATTAATTTGCAATTACAGTATTTCCAAAGGTATAGAAACAGTTGACGGCGATGAAACTTATATGGTCAAGAAG